GAACATTATTATTTTGTTTATTATCTTGATTAAGAAGAAGAAAACGTGTCTTTATGTTTAAGAAGACACATTGTGGCTTAAACTGAGTTTTAGTGCAACAGTTTTGTCTCTCTGAAGGAGGGTTTTTGAGACSAAGGTCAAAGAAAGGTGGAACGGTTTACTCCACCTCGAGGTGACCACTACAATACATTATACAGACCAGTAAATGTTAGGTATGTACCCAGTATGTAGCAGGTAAGTAAAAGTACATACAAAGTACCCAAGTATGTAGCAGGTAAGTACCAGGTGCTTATCCAATACATACCAGGAAAGTACTAGGTAAATACCAGGTAAGTATAAGGTACAAGTACGGCTGACCTCTGAACTACAGAAGCCCCAAAAGAGTGCACTGGTGGAAAAAAAATCCAGATTTTCCCAAAATTCAAATGAATCAATTAAATCGATTTATCGCCCAACCCTATAGGTAAGTATAAGTATGTACACAGTACATAGGCAAGTACCAGATGCCGCTGATCCAGTACATACGAGAGAAGTATCAGGTAAATACCAGGAAACTATAAGGCAGTGGTTCCCAATCCTAGTCCTCAAGTACCCCTATCCAGCATGTTTTACTTGTTTCCCTGCTGTTCAGCAGGTCTTCAGAAGACTGTTAATCACTCATTCATTCAAACCAGGTGTGTCAAATCAGGACTCCTTTCCTGCATGTTTAGATGTTTCCCTGATTTGAATGAATGAGTGATTAACAACCTTCTGAAGACCTGCAGGGAAACAAGTAAAACATGCTGGATAAGGTCTACTTGAGGACCAGGGTTGGGAACCACTGCTATAAAAGGTATGAACCAGGCAAATATGATTACAGGTACGGGTACCAGGATAGTACCAAGTACATAACCAGTAGTACATTCTAGGTAGGTACCAGTATGTACCAGGTAAATACCAGATATACTCCAAGTATGTACTGAGTACACACCAGGTAAGTTGCAAATAAATAATAGTAAGTAAATACTAGGTAAGTACCAAGTACATATCCAGTTCACACCAGATACTTTGTAACTGATCCACACCAGTTGTTAAATTTTCTGTACTGCTACTAGAAATTGTATTTACAAAGAATCTCAATATTTTTGTTATAAAATTATTAATTTTTACTTCTACAAATTTAAAAAATATATTCACCTAGAACTTCCTATTGTTGCTTCTGTCTCAGAATTTGTCGATCTGTGCAGCTTCCTAGACTGCTGACTGGACTGAAACAAGCACTGACTTTTGTGTTTTTATATTTTATTCAGTGAAAATGACCAAATCTGATGTCCAAATAAGGATAAACTGAATGAAGTTTCAGTAACGATTAGTGAATATTTGTGGTTTGAAATGCATTGAAAAAAATCAGAGTTTTCTGGATGGATCTCATGTCTTACCTGATGCAGTTATCCGGGTCATTGACGCAGTCGGTGTTGCACATGAATCGCTCCCAGTGCAGCCAGCCCATGGTGGGCTTCAGCGCCAGGCCGTTATCCAGAGCTACAACAGCCGGCCTCAGAACACTGAGAACCGACAGGAGGAGCACCGTTCTGTCCATGTTTTTACCCACAACTTCACACTTGTTCGGTGGCTGTGTTTACAGTCAGCGACAGTACTTGTTTCACCGATTCATTTCCTTGAACCTTAAAGCCCGCCTCCCGTCCCGATGATTGACACGAGTATGGACCAATAAGATCAAAGTGCGCCTGCAGCTGACCAATGACGTTTGTCCAAACCTTGTTTTGGGAAAACACGGAAGCGCTCGTTGTAAAGAAAAAAAAAAGTACCTTAGTAAATCATGTGAGAGAAGTCAGGTGATAGTCTCGAGGCATGACTGATGACAATAGACATGACATCATTTTGTTAGTCTTGTGTTTCCTCAAAATAAAAACACACTAATATATTTACCATGTTATACTAGTTTTAATTATTACAGATAATTTCCTGTGTATGTGCATGTTTTTCTATCTGTTAGCAAATTATCTCATGAACCACTGGACGGATTTGAAGGAATCTCATGGAAATTAATTATTTTTTGTACATCTACAACTGATTATCTTTCGGAGTCAGCATGATTTAAAATGAACATTACACCTAATCAACCTCTGAAAACACAWAACTGATTGTAACTCAGTGAGTTTTACTGACGTTGAGCTAAAATCTGGAGTGGTAGTGGCTGAGATTCGTTTTCAACCAGTAATCTGAGCCCTGACTGATTGCACAAGATCTGTTTGGTAAATTTTGCCAACTGTCAAATGTGCCTGTCTGTTAGCAGAATATCTAACAAGTGCTTCAGACAACATAAAAAAAAAAAACTTTTTTCCCCACAGTTCATTTGATTATAGTTGACTCATTGAAGGAGAAATTTAAAAGAAAAAAGCTAAATGTTTTTTACTGTGGTGTGCCAAAAAAAATTTTTGTGGCTTTTAAAGGTTTTTTTTTTTTTTTTTTTTTTTGGATCAGGTGTCTGAGTGTTGATCCAGTCTTGTAGAGAATAATAGATAAAAATAAAAAAGAATCTCAACAGTTTTCTTACATTCACTGCATTTTTCATACAGGCAGTGAAGCATCACATTGTGTCCAAAACAAAACCACTTTTTTCTTACCTTCTACAAATATAAAATAAGCTCTTGGCAGACATCCCGAATATCTATTTGTATTTGTTATCCAGCAGGCACCAAGACTGACAGAACATGGCCCAATTTACTTCCCTGGTCCCCGAGGAGTCTGGTGCATAAAAACGCCATGCGCGCACACACACACACACACACACACATACGCACACACACTATTTGTAATAACTGACTGCTTAATAGCTGCTGATGCAAGACACTAATTTATCTGGCGCTGATGCAAAAATAAATTACAGACAGGTTTCCTAATTCAGCTGTAAAACAGACATCATGCTGCAGAATTTAATTAATCCAGGATGTTTTTATTTGCAAAGATGTCAAAGAAATTCTCCTGCAGAGAGATTGATGATTGTTGCTTATTTGCTGAAAGTTTAAAGAGGTATTGTTTGTCTTTAGTTTTATTGTTTTTTTCTGTCTATTATTTTTCTAAATATGTGAATGAGGCAATTATTACAACCATCMATCTAATATATTATTTTGCAAACTGAAAATTTTGAAATTCTATGATTTGATTGACTGCAATGTTTTACTGTTTATGCACAAGGCTCACACAGAAACACTTTACCTTCCAACATTCTGGTAAACTTTGTTAAGAGAGACAGTTGTTATCTAAAGGGGATGGAAATGTTTGTAAAGCCATATTTTCATTCTTGTTTGAAAGAAAGATGTAGTTTAATCCAAGGTATAGGATTGTGGAATGGTCTGGAAGATGATCTTAAAAATGCCAGATCAATATATTTAGGAGACAGATGAAAGCTAGTTTTTTTTTAGGAAATATGAAAAGTAAAATATGGAGTTATTTGATTTGTTGTTTGAGTTGATGTTTTTATGTTTTTATTTTATGTTATTTAGTATTGTTTTGTAAATTATGTTTCGTTTGAATATATTCTGGGTTGAAAAGGGGCAGACAAAATAAGATTTATTCTTCTGCTGCCTTTCATTTTATTTTGATTTGTATATCTTTTTTGTTTATTTTTATTATTGTATGTAATATTTTTTTAATGAAATGAATAACATTTTTGAAAATGAATTGAAAATTGAATGAATAAGAGTAAAACATCATTAATCCAACTTCCAGCCACGTGGGATCTTTACATCACCTGTTTGATTTTTAGGTTAATGTTAGACACTCAAGTAGATTGTTCAGTTTGTTCAGGGTTTAATATATGACTCAGCTTTTCCTGATAATGAATCAAAAATAAACATAAATCCATGCAAACCCACATTACAACAATAATTCTCAATCCCTAAAGCTGGCGGGAAAAAAAAGAAAAAAGAAAAAGAAAAAAAAAGGAGCATTAATGAACAGAAAACATGACCTTTCAGAAAAATGTCAAGGGGTGCCCATTTCAAGTCTAAACATTATCAGAGGCTTCACCCAGGGACAWGCCCGATACAAACAATTTGTCACATGCTGTAGTTCATATCAGAGCCAGTGAGAAAAGGCTTTGAGGCTCTAAATGTCAGATTTCAATTTGACTCCCCTCCTCCTCCTGCTGATGGATGGAGCAACCCCGCTCATCTAAATACAGACCCTTTCTTGTTGTAAAAATGGGATGTGGCCTGTCGTCATGATAGAGACTCTTGTTCTTTTTCCAGAGTGTTGTATTAAAGATCAGGAAGCCCGTATCTTTACAGTAGTTTAATTGAGATCGTTGACTGATGTGCAACCCCTGTGYTGCTGCCTTTGCTTATACAGCTCCCCGGGGATTTGACACCAATCCATCATGCCCCTTTCTTCCCCACTGTCACATAATTGAAGAGACTGTCAGGGCTGAGTTATGTTGGCAACTTTGTTATGTAGCGTTTAGGGATGAAACGAAAGGGAAAGCTGCGTCATGCCGCGCTCTCTTTGCCAAGGAGTTTCATTAATGTATTGATCTTTGGAGACAGGAAGCAGTGCAAGTAAATGTCATCAAAAAGTTGCGCCTCCATAAATTTAAGCCCGGCTTCATGACTCACAAAAACCCACCGTGGGAACTTCGTTTATTGTCACGTAATTAGCTGCTTAAGTTGTTTATATGAGCGTCACAGGGGGGAAAGAAGAAACGTTTGCTGATGCTGCTACTTTAATGAGGTCCTCGTTGGACCGAGCTCGTCTGAAACTGCTCCCTGTAATAACCTTCGGAGGCAAGCGTAGCTGTAAATCTTTTGTTATTGAAAAAGTTTGTTGTCAGCGCAGTTAAAAAATGTTTAGAGGAAATTTGGCTAACAAGTCAAAGATKAATTAAATGCTGATTTAATTATTATTTTTTTGCTTTGTTTTCAGAGCTCCTTCATTTAAACTGTGTTCAAAATAAAATGAACCAGCTCATTATATTTAATTGCATTTTAGACATCTGCAAATGCAGTTAATCATAATTATAGTATGGGAAAAAAAYTGAGCTGTGTGCTACAATCCAGAAACAATTCAAAGTATTATTGTACTTTAGAACAGTGGTTCCCAAACTTTTTGTCTTCTGACCCACAAAATATCCATGACAAAAACTTGTGACCCCAAATATTACTGGTCTGAGTACAC